TGTTTAATCTCAAGGTGTTCATAATTATCTAAGTAGGCGTCAGACTTTAAGCTAGCATGACTTAGAATCAACGGTATGAAATCATTTTTGCTCTTTGTTGATATTATGTTTAACGAATAAACCAGGTTAACTTAACAGTAAACGTACATAGCACAGAAAGCCGTCTACCTAGGTTTCGTTCTGGTTGGCTTTTCTTGACATAGCGTAACTAGAATCGTAAGGAGATCGATACTCTCTGTGTGATTCGGACTCACGGCAACTAGCTTCACAGTTTAAGACATTAAAACTCTGTGATAGTCAGTCGGCAATTGTTTTTGTATAAGACTGAAATATTTAGAATTTATTAATCACCGAGTAATGATGAATGGAATATTTACCTAGTCATTTAGTGCTGATAGGATTCTATTGATAAAGTTGTAATGTATCCACTGGTATGAATGATTTAACATCGCATGCATTTTGTCGAAGATTAGTTTCCCGTATAAATAAACATATTTTGAGGATAATAGTGACTATGAACGCTACGTAACTAGTGGACATATATATGGCTAGGACCGTTCTTGAAGTAAGTAGGTTGTTTTTCATCCTTAAGGTGGCCTGTATTTGCAGTAGTAGTAGTAGTAGTACAATGTAGGTATATTGAGTTTCTTTTAGTAAAACAACATTTCTTAGACCTTTATAACTTTCTGTCACTTTGCAACCAGTTGTTTAATAGCGTTACCAGTGATTGACATATTTCGTATTCATCATATGCCCATACCCATTGGTTATTATTATTGGTAGAAAGTTTTCACATGTAGTGATGCCATGTTTCTTTTGCGACTGATAAATGTTTATCCCAAGAAAAAATTTAATGTTATTGGTTTTTGTGTTTCGTCTTGAATATTTACAATAGAGCCTATGGTTAGCTTATATTTATATTTTCAGTACATTAGTGTTGCATGCCCCGTAAAAAAACAGAACTCTCCTTTTTAAAGCAGGGCTTACATATATTCGCTTTACTTTAGATCAATCTACCACCACAACATAGCAAATGATGTGTCTTTCAAATTCTCATATTCATTATTTTGATATTGGTAAAAATCACAGTTGCTTTTTTCTAAGATTTCTAATTCAAATTTTATATCAACTGGAAGGTGATACAAAACTATGTGTTAGTTATTTAAATCCAAGCTGAGAATTGTTTCATTATGTTTCTCTTAAATATTCATCTACAGTGCATATCTGTACTGCCTTTGAGAAAATTCTTCTTGACTGCAGATAGAAAACATTTTTTTCCAGTACCCTGTTAGTCAGTCGTATAGACTATAGTATGTAAAATTTAGTCAGTTTATGTCCGATTTCACCAGATAATAAATGAAATTAACATTTTATATTGATCTAATTTTACTATGATCAAGTCGATTCGCGATCATCATGTTCTGTATGGTGTTTTTCTAATGTGAATGACCACTATTTCACTTTAGAAACACTTGTCATTACAATTATTTAGGTGAGAAATAAATGACTAATTGATTTGAAGATAAGTTTTTGTTATTAGAAAGTAAGATTATTTGAAAAAAACATACTATTTTCGTTTGGAATGTATCGCTAAAATTCATCTCTATTATTGTTAAGGATCGTATTTTAAGTTCTGTAAAACTCCCAGTAAATAACTATGAATCGTTAACTCAACCAAGTAATTATAGACCAGATAGATTGTGGCTAGCATTAGCATTCAGTGACTGTATTTGGTCTTATTTGGACTCGTCAACTAAATGTATAGGCATTTTAGTGTCGATGTTCATATTGGGACCAGATCCAAATACTTTCCGCTTCAAACTCCAACGCGCTTTCTACTCAGTTACTGAGTACAGTTAACCACTAACTTGTTCACCTGGTATAATATTTAGATCATTATTAATATTGGTTCGAATCACCCTAATTTTGATGTTCAGGACTAAATTTCAACCAGTCTTTGTTAGCATATATGCACTCAGTACTGATTACCTCAATATGGCCACTTTATCACAAATTTCATAGAATAGATGGCTTACTGTTAGGAGTGAAGTTTAGGACGAGTGTTTTGTTCTGTCAGATGTAATTGAATCCTAGTGTTGACGTCCAAATAAAATAGTATGAGAAAAAGTAAAATAAAAACGTAATTTTTTCCTTTCTTGTTTTTGTGATAGGTTAATAAATTTATTCTATATTTATCTGTTTGTGTTTTCAACAAAAGCACTGTTGATAAAGTGAGAACATTAAATGCATATATTTAACACAATTAACTTCTCATTAGTGATCAGAAAATTATACTGTAAATAATTTTGAAAGGGATCCTAATAACAAGTAAATATTTGTACATCTGAGTTGAAAGTAAATATTGAGGTTCTGAAATATGAATGATGACCAAGATTCCTGATTACTGAAATGCTTTCGTATTAATAGAATGTTAGCAAAACGGTAAATTGGAACATTTTTGCAAAAGGGGTCACGTTAAAGAGAAAGGTTTCAGTTGTTTTTTTTTTGTTTTGTTTTTTTACATCTACATAGTTTAGAACTGTAACTGGCTAAAGCTTCTGTAATCTTAAATAGACTTTAAATGAAAAGCTCACAGAATTATGCTTCTCTGTATATTTCCCCCAATAAATTGTAGTTGTTATCCATTTACTAAGTAAGTCAGTTTCAGAATAATTGGTTAATAATCTAGGTAGTTTCAGGACCGAATTTCACAATGAAATAGATATGTAGCATGGACAAGGTTTCGATTCTTTTTGTTGTTGGGACCTGGATGTTAACATTTGAATGAAGAATAAATGAATGGTAACTGCTAACTTACTTACTTACGCCTGTTACTCCCAACGGAGCATAGGCCGCCGACAAGCATTCTCCAACCCACTCTGTCCTGGGCCTTCTTTTCTAGCTCCATCCAATTCTTGTTCATTTTTCTCATGTCTATTTCCATTTCCCGGCGTAATGTGTTCTTTGGTCTTCCTCTTTTCCTTTGGCCTTCAGGATTCCATGTGATGGCTTGTCTTGTGACGCAGTTGGGTGGTTTCCTCAATGTGTGTCCTATCCACTTCCAACGCTTCTTCCTGATTTCTTCCTCCGCTGGGATCTGGTTTGTTCTTTCCCACAGTAGGTTGTTGCTAATAGTGTCCGGCCAACGGATCCGAAGTATTTCGCATAGACAACTGTTAATAAACACTTGTATTTTCTGGATGATGGCTTTCGTAGTTCTCTAGGTTTCTGCCACATACAGTAGAACTGTCTTGACATTTGTATTGAAAATTCTGACTTTGGTGTTGGTTGACAGTTGCTTTGAGTTCCAGATGTACCTCAGTTGTAAATATGCTGCTCTTGCTTTGCCGATCCGCGCCTTCACGTCTGCATCAGACCTACCATGTCCATTAATGATGCTCCCTAAATATGTAAAGGTTTTTACATCTTCCAAATCTTCTCAGTCAATTGTTATTGGATTGGTGCATGCTGTGTTGTATCGGAGAATCTTGCTTTTCCCTTTGTGTATATTGAGACTTACTGCTGCTGAGACTGCTGCTACGCTGGTCGTTTTCTCTTGCATTTGTTGTTGCGATTGAGATAGGAGGTTTAGATCATCCGCGAAGTCTAGATCGTCCAACTGCATCCTAGATGTCCACTGCATCCCAAGCTCCCCCCCCCCAGATATTGACGTCTTCATGATCCAGTCGATCACCAGGAGAAAGAGGAAGGGTGAGAGTAAGCAACCTTACCTGACACCGGTCTTTACCTCGAACGAGTCTGTCAATAGTCCTCTATGCGCACCTTTTCAGTTTAATCCATCTTCTGAGGCACGCCGTAGTACCGAAGAGGCTTTTATAGTGTTGTTCTGTCCACGCTATCAAATGCTTTTTCGTAGTCAATGAAGTTGATTTAGAGTGATGAATTCCATTCAGTTGATTGTTCCACAATGATCTGTGGAGTTGGGAGTTGGTCTGTACACGATCTATCCTTACGGAATCCTGCCTGTTGGTCACGAAGTTGGGTGTCTACGCAGTCCTTCATTCTGTTTAACAATACCCTGTTGAGGACTTTTCCCGGTATTGAGAGAAGAGTGATGCCCCTGTAGTTATCACAGTTGTTGAGATCTCCTTTCTTTGGTATTTCGATCGGGAATCCTTCTTTCCATTCTATTGGCACTTGTTCCTCATCCCAAATCTGCTATGGGTTATTATTATTACATATATTTCTATCAGATACCATTAAGTAACTTATTATGTATATTCATATTCCTGTTATCATAAACTTTCATTTGACCTATTGGTTACTGTTATACGATTTACCATTCTCATGTTATTCCCAATCTATTAGTTACAGTCTCACACTCACAGCCACTTTTAGCTTCGATCGTGTATAATTGTTATTTTTTTATTTTATAGTGTGACGCGGTCTGGTTTGCTTGCATATAAACTACATGTGTTTGAAATATATTATTCACACAGTGGAGGCTGAGACTCAGCGAACAGGGCTAGGCCAGAAGGACCAATAAATATTCAGAGTGGATGCAAGGTTGCTAATACCATTCGACGTGTCTTTGGTTTAGCACAAAAACTAGTCATATAAGTCTGTATTCAGATTGACGATTTTGTCAAGTGATTATTGACAGAGAACGAAGTTTATATATATTAAGTAATTCATCAATTCTTGTTGGAAACGAAACATCTGGAAGTAGTATTTCAGATTCTTGACTGATTTTTAGACTAAGTGATAGGTCGTAATTATAATATGGTTACAAGCAAAGTATATCGTCTCTATCCATGGTATGCTTCTAAATGCTGGATTAAGTTCCAGTCATGTCATCATAAAAACCTTTAAATTTCTTGCTGAGTATGTTAATGAAGATTCAAATTTATTACACATTCAAACGGCTGTATAACTTTTAAAAATAAACTAATTGAAAAGTGTTGTACTACCAATTAATACGTGTAATCAGATTGATTAATGTATTTTTTTATTATTTCTGATTGATTTCTTGTCATCAGAAGTAAGAAACAAAAGCGCAAACGAACTTATCAACAATCAAATGAACAACCGACTGTGATCGATCTTACTATTTCTGATGATTCGTGTAATAGTAGTTTGACAGAACTATCAGTATCAACAACTAGAACTGAATCAATTGAAAATTTGCCAATATTCAATGTTTTGTCGTGGAATATTCAAGGTTTGGAGTCAACAAACCTAAACAAACGAATGATGTCTGTAGTGGAGACAATAAAGAAGTACATAATTTGTATTATATTCATATAAATCGTTTTCGTTCAATAGTGTTATTTGAATGATTTTGTTTTCATTGTTCAAAGCCGTTTGACAAAATATTCTAATGAAACAAATTTTTTGCATATTGACATGTATTAAACAACTTGAGCGGATCCGTCATTACTTCAACATTTAAACCAGTTTCATTCGACTCGTCAATTAGGTGCCATAAAGAACAAAGGTTTTTGGCTGTACATAATTTAGTCCAGACAAAGATGGGCTATCAACTGATTAACCCATTTTTCACAGCAAAATAGTTTTTCATTCATGTCATGCCCACGTTTGGTTTAGAAAAAAATGTTTTCCTTTATTGACTTTTTACTTTAGACTCTTTTCAATAGAAATGTTTGTGTGCCGTACTTTTGTAATAGTATAAATTTGCCAACTATATATATATATGAAGTTTTTATGGGCGTACATGTGGAATTCTCAACTTATTGATCATAGACCTTCAGTGCACCCCCGACATTTCAACTAACCTGTTTTAGAAAGTCAGACAGTCACACCTATGGCACTCCATTTCTATTCCCCTTTGATCTGTGAGGTATTAAGGAAAGATATTATTTTCAAGTGAATACAATGAATTAAAGTAGTGAAATAGTTCCCAAGGCTACATCAAAATGGAATAAACTTCTAGTCAACGTGCAAATAAGTCGATCAAATGTATATTTTTTTTATTGAATACACCCTAGCGAACAGAAACATTTTTTAGTTTACTAATAGAAATATTCAGTTGTGTGCATTTCGATCAAATCTACCCTTAAACGTACAGCTATATGTTGGAAAGCCTTGTATAACTTCACGACTATGTTAGAGAATTTCATGTCATCACGGGGAAATAATCAGCCGTATTATATTCGTCTCAAAGATGATAGGTGTTTGCCTTTTGAACTAGTTTTTATATTATTATTCAGGCTTCACTGAAGAAAGTAAATCAATGGTAATCTATAGAATGAATATATATGGCTTGAACTTTCAGTTTTAAGTCATGAACAAATGAACGTTATACTGACTTGGTAATCAATTTATGAGTTTGATAATGTCTTAACTTCTGACTTTTTCAGCCCACTTGACATTTTCGTGTTTGTATCGTTATTTCGTTATCCCAAAAATCCGTTAGCGTTGTTGCAACTTCTGATGTACTGTTTATTTTCCTTATTAACTAGATCATTTTGCAATACACGTTTCTGCACAAGACATAAATCATTTCACTTTAATGCTTTCTTTCCATTGGATTCCGTAAGACTAAATCTTTGAATATTCCTATATGCCAAAGCAAAAAACACTTTCCGAGAGATAATATTATTCTTAATAGATAGTTATTAAACTAATCGATTCAATGTAACATTTGTGTAATGCGTCACCTCATTACATTACTCATAAGTAACCATTGTTTTATCTCTCATTTCTATTGGTTAATCAGAACCTTACTATTACTTCGTTGGGAAATGTAATTATAGTAATCATTCGATCATACTCAACTGACAATTTTTCTCTGCATTTGCTTGACGTTAAGTGTTTCTTACGATAATTTCATCGCTTCGAATGTAAGTTTGTAAATTAAACTGAAATATAATTACATTAAAAAACTATGTATACATGTCGAAGCGCCTGTCTTCTGTCCTTTGACTTTATTCGATTTCTAGGTGGACGAGAGCGTCAGGTGTTTTACTCGGGTAAACTTTCAGACTGGTTTTTAGTCTAAACTTTTTCACAAATAGTAACACTATTCACATCAGTTACATCATAAGATTTATTCGACTGATACTGTAGAAATACTGCAATCAAACTGTATTCAATGCAGTTATGCTTTATGTACATATTCACATCATTATTTATTTTTAAGTTGATTTAGTTTAATATCATTGAATTCTGGACTTTTATCTCGTACTGTATGAAATTGTTTGCATGAAAATTGAAAAATTGATGTTCACTCAAACATTCCAAGGTGTTAGTAAATGAATAGTAGTTAAAGTGTTTAGGTGCATGATACTGGCTCTGTAGCTTTCTCTTTTCTAGAAATAGGTTTTGGACAAAATTTACTAATTTTATCAGTAGTTTAATACTTTCCGTTATTTGAAGATATGGTTTTCTCATGATTCGCTTTTAAAGTCACAGTTTATATAACCGTGTATACGGTCGCCTAAAATGATCATGTGAACTGAATTAATTGAATAGGTTGACTACTTCACTTTTCTTCGAAGTTGTATTAACTCTTGGGTTGATAACTGGTAAAATTATCAACAGAAATTCAAAGATCTCAGTTGTCCTTTCTCAAATTCCATCACTAGTGGCGTAAGTAAGATGTCTATCTCCCAACCAAAAGATGAGTAGACTGTGCGGCAGTCCGCTCTACTTTACTGTGAAACATGGGCTTTGAAAGTTAAAGACATGTTTCAACTGATTAATTTTGATCATACGTTTCTATGAAGCATCAATAATCTATCGTAGAATAACTAACTAAGCAATACTGAGGTTAAGCAAAGATGACGAATTGGTCAACGAAGTTGTAAACCTTCATTAACTAAGATGACTGGGATTTGTGGTGCGTAGGTCTAACCACTGCCTACTTCAACAGGCAATAATAGCTAGTATAGAAGTACACTGGAAAGAAACTAGTGGGAGTTGCAAAACCAAAACATAGCATCAGTCCATGAAGTCGTTAAATTGACTGTACAGTGTTTTTAGATGCAGACTACCTAGTAGGAGTCTGCACGATTACTGCGATCAGTGGTTGATGTTGGATAATATAACTCAGAATTGTTGACAATGATGCAGATACGTTCACTCTTTGTCTTCCTCCGTATATTTATCCTCAATATTCCTTCATATATACCTTATTATTATTATTATTATGCCTTTTTGAATTATATTCTGAATGTTTAGTTTTTTTAGAATTGTTACTACATTATTTCAACTCCTTTGTTATTTATCTTGTTAGTTTCACCTTTCCGTGATAATGTGGTATAGTAAATTTGAGCAACACATTATTCCTAGGCTCTACTTTTGTTATCACAGATTGACTTGTAAAACCACCTAGACTGAGGTAAAAAGGAAGTAATTTTCCTTGACAAATGAAAAGCTTTCTTGTGATTACAGACTGACCAAATTTCGGGACAGATAATTGTCTTATTCTAACTTAACTATGTGTTTTTCAGATGGTTCAAAATTCGAGATCCATTTTGTTAGGATTCCTAGTGTGTATATTGCGAAGAAATTCAAATATATAACAAAACAAAATGACATCTCGTTTTTTTTTTAAGATTTAAATTGTTTTTAACCTATATCAATTGATGAGATTTATTTTGGTATTGACAGATAATTCTCATTAAAAATTATAATCATGAAGTTTTGCGAAGGGATTTCTTGAACGAATTTATTATTATCAATTTACTTATTATCAAGCTGTACAATCGTACATATATGAAATTTTTTTGTTAAAGTACTAATTATTATTATTGCATTTCTCCCCTTACGTGTATCTTAAATCCTCATTAGTTTATTCATAATTGCTCATGATATCACTTTATTGACTTTTTACACGACCATGACCTTTAATTATTGTAACAAAAATATTTGAATCATCCTACTACATTCAAGTTATAACTCGTTACTAACTTATTAAGTCGATTGTTATTATTTTTGTTACGTAATCTAGTATTATAATCTTTCTATTGCGTCATCTTGGTTATTCCATGTTCATATTTCTTCACGGAATTAGTCCTTTAACAAAAAAAATTTCATATTTATACGATTGCACAGCTTGATAATAAATTCGTTGGAAAGAGATCCCTTCACAGAACTTCGTGTTTTTATTTGGATATGGTAAGATTTGAATTATTGCAATAAGTATTCAACAGCTTGTTATATATATAGCTTCAAATAACATCGATAAAATACATATCTATCTATTTTTATACTTGCGTTTCCGATAACTTGCATTTATACCCTATTCGACTGATTTTCATATTTTTTAGAGAAGAATTCCATGTAGTTTGCTTACAAGAAGTTATACTTGTCTGTTTGGAAATTCTCCATGAGAAGCTAGATTCAACGTATGATATTTTTTCTGCATCTGATCATAACTCTCTATGGGATTATTTTGTTGTCATTTTAGTTAAAAAGCATCCAGATATAAAGGTTGACGCGGATTCTGTTAGTGTAAGTGATAACTTTTGTGTTTTTGTTTTTTATTTATTCATTCATTTTTTCCTTACATCTTTGATTTGACAGTTGACTGAATTATCAATTTTAATTTCAAATTTGATATGAAATACAGGGAAACTTTCACAGGTATTGTCCTTGTAGTATTCGAATTTGATTTTCTATATCGGAAAGCTATTTTTTCTATTGAGATTCTAACTGATAATTCGAATTAAAAAAGTGAAGTAAATTACGAAAAGTAAATAGTTTTAATTATAGTTGGTGTAAATAAATACTTGACTATTAGTGAGAAGTAAACATTTAAGGTATCCATTTCCGGACCTCGTTAAAATCAAGCACTTATTGTTGTTTGAAGGTATCAGGTAGTGTATTAACGGCTTATTTCAAGCGAGGAATTTCGAACCTCACCGATAATGCAAAATGTGTTTACTCGCTTTTCCGGTTTTATTTACTTCATTATGTAAAACAATCCATTACGAGTTGCTCTAAGATGAATGTCGCGAAGTTCTGTCGAAAAGTTTTATATTAGTCATCTTTTTAATCGAGTCGAAAGTTTGGACGGAGGTTAACCTTAAATCTTTAACCTCCTGAAAATCAAAGAAATCTTCAGGATCTATTAGGATTCTAATACAGTAACTGATGAGTACTTGTGTATGTATTTCTGATAAATTTCATACTTATATGAAACTTAATCAATCCTTACTTATTTTTAGTGATTTTTCATCTGGTATCAGTTCATCATGAAAATTGATAAAAGTAGATATTATATGATGATTGATATTGATGTTTGCCTGTCCGATTGAAAGGAGTAACCAATCCAAAAAACATCAAGTTTTTCGATCACATATCAATATAAAGTGGTTAGAATATTTAAACTGAATGATTGTCATTGACACAAAACGTCGTAATCTACTGTAAGAGAACTTCAAAATAATTAGTATCGATTTTCTTTTCATAAGTTATACTTTGACATCAGACATTCCCAACAGTTGCCCTTTCAAATTCTCTGATAGTCTTCTTTTATACTTTAATCCATTGAAATGCTTGTGCCCGTGATGACGTTTGAAACTACTTCGTCATTGCTTACTAGATTATTATCGCTGATAATTATAGACGAGGCAAAACCACCCATAGATTATTCCCAATTTAATATTCCTCTTAAAATAATAATAAACAGTCACTTCATTTTTGAAACTAATGAATAAGCACGAGGAATGAAATGATTTTTATTGATGGAAGGGGTAAAACTATTAAGGAACCACGACTGCTAGTCGAATTATATTTTGAAAAAACACGATCACGTAACTGTAACTACTGTTGTGTCCTATTCTTACTTGACTAATTAAAAACTATCGCTAAAGCCAAATATTTTGATTACTACGTGTAAATCTGAATTGATGTGCTTTACAATATTCAATCTTCAATGACAAGTTACCATTTCAGGCTTTCTGATAGAAATTTTGGTTCAAATAAAAGCTTTTTTATTCCTGAGAAAGCATGTTTTTTAATCTTATTTACATTTCCACTAATAAAGTAAAGAGTTTCAACAGTTACTTGTTACCAATTGTTTTTTTTTTGTATTTTGTTTTCCTTCATAATATAATATACAAATAGATATAAATAGTGATGTTATGATTTTTATTTTAACTAATAAATTATAAATAAAAATCATCTCAAACTGAAAAGATCACACGTCACCCGAGTAGATTGTGATGTAGGTAGGTGGGTTTTTCTGCTTTTATTGTTCTTCAGTGAATTTAATGTGAAATGATTTACTTTCACAAGATTCATTCAACTATCTTGTATCTGCCAATTTTATTTTCCACTTGTGTTTTAAAAAGTAATTTAAACCTGTTATCTGTATTATTTAAATGTTTTGACGTCAAGAGTTTATGTTGATGAAACCATTTTTATGTGTGGGACTAAACAGATATTCAGTGCTTTTTAAGTTGTACTGACTTTTCAGTTAACATTAATTCATGATTGAAACTGTCAGTGTTTTTCTTTAAAATTATTTCCTTGACATAATTCTTATCTTTAGAAGAATTCTATTCATCAAATTATTTCTTAACCATTAAGCTAACCTTGTTGCAATGGTGTGGTACACAGGTATTTTTTGCAATTTTCTTGTGTAACATAAAAGCACAACTAATTACTTTACATATGCGTCGTAATATTCAAAAAAAAATTTAATTGTGTTGTATTAAATAACTGTAAACAAACGCCTACGTCAGAGATTTATTAATTTTAAGAACTCAATTTATTGTGTACATTGAATTGTTAGTTATTTCTTTTATGACAATAAAAATTACATTTAATAAACTATTAATTACCGATCCCAGTTCATTTTTTAAATTTTCTATATTTATTTACTTTGAAGAAGTTATTTACATTAAGTCACTAAAACACCAGAAATACAATTTTCTACTCATTTGGTATATCATTAAAATAAATATTTATTATTAACATTATTGTTTAGCGAAAGATCACTCAGAATAGAATTATCTAAAAACTGTATCACAAGTTCATTAGTTCCAGGTAGTAATTGGACTCGAATCACTCAAACGTTGATAATATGCTTCATCAAAATATTGATCCATTGTTTTTAATAACTACTTTTCAATACTTGTTTATATAATGAAAATTATAGAAAATAAAGGTCTATTTACTTGAAAATTGCAATCTTAATGTACTATTAATAATAGGCTTTGGTAAAACACTTTCGTACACTTCATTGTTCTACCTCTTACATTTGTGTTTTTTTTTCTTTATTCACTTACTTAGATTCAACCATTTCCTAATTCTGTAATGAATCGTCATCTACTATCTATTGATCTGAATTTATCACAGTTTCTATCCAAGTCTAATGTAGAATTAAATCTACGAATATTTACTACACACTTGGAAAGTTGTGCAGAATATTCTGGTGAACGGGTGACTCAATTGAAAAGTGTTTGGGATACAATGTCCAGTTATGTCAAGTGTGGCGATTCTCAAGCTCATTTAAACAAAAGCCGTGCAAGTATATTTTGCGGTGACCTTAATCTGAGGGATTCAGAGGTAGGTTCTGTCGCTACCTTTTTTCATGACTTCAATTAACAGTAACTATACTAAGGGTTATTCGATTTCATCATTATTCAGTCAACTTACTATGTATGATATCGTAGAGGATTGCTTAATGAAAAACTACCGAAAATATTTTAATTATGACGTACCTGGAAGAAATAATCCTATTCTAGAGTAAATTTTAGACTAAATGAAACGAACGTTTCCTCACCCTTTCGTTTCACTTACTAGTAGATATCACAACTGTTTCCACAGCTTTTTGGATATCATACCAAGCTATCTCAAGGGTATCATTCTTTTGGCTGATTAGCTCATTCTCCAGTTGTTCCTGAATTATATCTTTAACTTTCTCGTCATTAAGTTGTACACCAAGGGGTTTTCTTGATGTGGCTTTTCTCCGCCCATCAAGATGCAGACAAATATGTGTTTGGACTATAGTATGATCCGGATTCAAACCTGTGCTCCAGAATGAACAAGGCTTCTATCGAGTCCCTCTAACGATGATTAGTGTCGTGATCTATTTGAGTAAATTGTATGGTTCGCCACGTCAGATGATGTCCCTCATGTTTAAAGTTGGTGTTTCTTTTTTAAAGTAGACTGTTATCTGAGCATGGTTGCAGTGGACGATTGCCACTATCTGTTCACTGAGCGGCGACATTGTAGGACCCATTTAGGAGCTTTTTGGTCAAATTCAGTCAACTTACTCGAGCATTAAAATCACCTATCACTGTTACTGCATCATAGCGTTTAGCCTTTTGAAGGAACCTAAATAACCTCGTGGAATTCATCTTTTACTTTATCCGAGCTGGTCAATATGAGCGTAGGTTGAATGTTTCTGCTCCATATTTTAACTAATTCCGTACGGAATACATTCACTGCAGATTTAGATTCGAGATTATACGTGATCGGTTGCCGCATCTTATTTTATGTACGAAAAATCAACTTATTAACACCTAGAGTATGTATCATCAACAATAAGATTAATTTAATTGCGAAATTAGTTTTCTTCGTTAGGTAAACTCTTCGCCATAGAGAATCAAAATCATCTTTAAATTTACTTGGAGCGTTATACCCCTATTGGTTTTACTTTAGTAAATTCAAAACTTATAAATGAAATTCAAACTGAATTGTAAGTCGTATTTAAAGTAGTGTTTTAGTCCGATTCATTACTTTTAAAATGTTTACTTGTAGCACCGAACCATAGCTTTCTATATCTTGTTGGTGCCTCAGGTTCTCGCACACATGCTCTAAGTAAACGTGTTTTAATTAACTCCGTCATGTGACTTCCGGATTATATGGATGATCTTCCCAAGTACACCATAGTGTCGAAGAAGGTTGCGTAAGGTCCTCTTATCCACGCTGGCAAACGCTTTCTCATAATCAATGAAGTTGATGTGTAGTGACGAGTCCCATCCGATTGATTGTTCAACGATGATCCGTAGTGTCGCGATTTGGTTTGTGCACGACCGATCCATACGAAATGAAACTTGTTGATCTCGAAGCTGGACGTTTACTGAATCTTTCATCTGTTTCAGCAACACTCTGTTGAAGACTTTTACTGGTACCGATAGTGTGATGCCTCTGTAATTTTCTCATCTAGCTTTGTGTATGCGTCTGTGGGGGAATATTGTGCCACCTATAACTATTTTGTTAAAAATCTCGTCAATTTCGTTCATTCTCCTAGTCTTTGTCATCTTAACATATATTCCTACCCGGTATTGTCCATTCCGACTTTGGCATTTAAATCTTCTATCAGGATAGTCAGGTTGTTTCATGATCACTTCACTATGATCATTTGCAGCTTCTCGTAAAACTGATCTTTTTCGTTGTCGTTTCTCTCATTAGTGCGTGCATGACATTGGATAATATTCATTGTGATTCCCTCCTCCTTTGTTTTGAATGATGCTTTGATGATCCTGTGTCCATGAGATTCCCGTCCTATGAGAGCTTGTTGTGCTTCTTTGAACAGCATCAGTACAGCTCCTTGTGTGTGCGAGGCATTCTATTCTTCATAATCAGAGTACAACAACACCTCTTCTGAAGTTAATCTTTTATGTCCAGCTTGATTCTGATGGGTTTCACTTATTCCGAGAACCGTTAGGTTATATCTCCTTATTTTCTCAGCCGTTTTCTAGAAAATCACTCCACCTCCTCCCTCTGGGCTTGTGCTTGGCAGTATCCCCAGATTTTCTACAGTTCTAGTTCTTATTTGTTTATGAACCATTGCTTCATTTTTCTGTCAACACGTTTTCACTAGGTTTAAAAGCAGTTCTGATCGAATAAATAAATAAATTTAATTTTCTTATGTGTTGTAGTTTTCTTGAGTTGAAGTTTTCAGCTTCAGTTTATTTCTTGTTAATCTGGTGGGTCTGCCAAATGTTTGTCGTTTTTCCTATTTAAACCAGACAGATGTATTTTCTATTTTTACCACTATTCTTTATGTATTTTAAAAATCGGCTACACTAGTTATAGGAAGGTACTTTAGACTACATAAAGTATTTTTCCTTCTTATCCATTATAATAAATGCCTCATAATCGTAAATGACCTTTTATCCCTTTCGTTTTATACCCAATTCTTTATACACATGAACACTTCATGGAGATTTGTTATTATTTATTTCTTACTTGGTTTTTCACATAACTTATTTCGTGCTTTTAGTACTCAGGAATTTACAAGAAATGTAGCCTCTGATCTTTTCCCAGAAGTCGCTGTGTCGTAATCAAATGTTTTGATTTATCTGTTTTATGTATCTATCCTTGATTTATAATGTGCTGTATTCATGATTGTTTTTTACATTCGTAGGTCGGCGTGTTAGGTGGCTTACCTTGTGGGATACATGATGTATGGTATGATTGTGGACGTCGCCATGAGATAAGGAATACTTGGGACCCTATGCACAACCTAAATGCTCGACGTCAATTCAGAGGTATTCCTCGAGCTCATATGACTTTCCGATATGATCGCATGTATGCGTTAGGCTCCAGATTAAAACCCGTTGATTTTGGCCTTCGTGGAATCGAAAAGGTTAAAAATCTTCCGTGTTTACCTTCTGATCACTGGGCTATACTTGGTCGATTCTTATTAACTGGTTTGTAATCTTCAATGTTCTAGTTCTTGTGAACCACTTCTCGCATTTAAAAACGCAGAGTTCTCTTTTTTTCACTCAACAGTCGTGTATAAAAACAGATGCTTAAATGAATATTTTCAATTTATTCCTATTTTTGAGCATACAGCTACTTGCTATATATCAAATAACAGTTCTATTTAAATCTGTATATACAGTAAGGTTTTACCTTATGATATTATTGCACTCTTCAGTATCAGTTAGATAAGTAGTCTGCAATTAAAGTTCTGGTTACAACTAAATGGCATTGAATGCACCTTTATTGCTGCGCGCAGTTTGGTGTTCCAAAACTTATATGAACTGTATAGGTTTCAAAAATCTAGGTTTAAATAGCGTAGTTTTGCTGATCAAGATTAATGTTTTGAGTTGTTTTTGACTCAATCGCAAGTAACAACTTAGAACCTCAAGTCTTCATTCAGTTACAAGTCCTGCAAAATTATTACAGTGATTGTTTCCACACATTTCGAGTGTAGTTACGATATTCTTGTAGTCGATAACAACAAAGCGGATGTTTACCAACGTTCTAATACTTCTGAATGAATTTAGCGTAACTGGAAATTCGTACACTTTAGAGGTACTTTTTGAAACCAAGTTATTTTGTGGAGACTCATGTGCATTTGTGGTACTCTTTGTCAACTGGTGGTCCTAGTGAGATATGTTCTGTAGTCGTTTAATTTACATCTTATTCTACACGAGAACGTTTCATAAAATTTAATTAAGGTCTTTCCGCTCATGATAACCTTCATATTATTAGCTTCACCTTAGCAGTCATTCAATGTCCCGAGACATTCTTGAAGTTCATTCCCTTCCTTTTGAGTAAAATTACCAGCGAAACTAGTGGATCGATCTCTACCGCTATATTACCAGAAATTGTATACAAGACAGCACATATTTCCCAAAAAGCATTAATTGCTTAAAACGCTAGCAGTCATAAATTTAAGCGTTTATCCGTCAGCTTGAAATCAAAGAATAGATTGTCGCTAGTATAAAGAAAAGTAATCTGACTATGTTGATTACCTTCTCCTGGGTATATCATAGTGAGTTCTAATTCTCCAAAGTAAAAATTCGTAGGAACTCTGCATTTATTAAAATCACCAACGTTGTTGCTCTTTTGAATGAAGATATGTTCTTCATTTTCTCTTTCAAAGTGTTGCTTTCAAGCGCGTGAATATTTTGACTGTCGTAAACAAGAGAACAAAGCTTTTGGAGTGACATACTACTACCGATATATATTTCGATATTTAAGTTAACAGCAATCTCACTCAATTATTTTGAAGTAATGCGACTAACATTGGTAGATAGGACTCCACGAATTAAGCAATCTAGGTTGCGTGAATATCACACAACAATTGATTATATGATGATGCAACAGGTCAGTTATAGTGACTGCAATTCCGGAAAGTGCCGTTATTCTAGTTCCACCTGTAGCTCATCGTTGAACAATTATTTGAATGGAACTCGTCACTATCCATCAACTTCATTGATTAAGAGGAAGCGTTTGACAGCGTGAAGAAGAGGAAACACGAACAAATGAAGGTCAATACAGTCAATGTACCATCAGATTCTGCATCAATAGGCCTCAACATACACAAGGGGAAATGCAAGATCCTGAACGACAACCCAAACAACTACACAATCACACCTAATCCACGTTCAGCGCTTCCCGATTAAATTTCTCAGCTCGCAACCCGGCTAGGTAACCCTTGTTGGGAGCCGCAAATGACTTGGAAGCTTGGCAAAGACCTATATGCTGTCCCAACAGGATGCAATATATTTATACGGAGATAAATAAGAATAACCAATAATATTTTATGTTTAACATAATAACTGTAATAGCGAGTCACGCTACTTGTCACGGCATAATAAATATTGCTTTTTACATGCGGAAAAGGATGATTGAAGTTTGTTTATTTACATCGACTGTAAGCTTAGACATTTTAAATATTTGCTGATAACATGGATATTGAATATTGCGTAAAACAGCGGAGGGTTTGTGTCTTGCGATACGGTACAGTCCACTTCACTGTGTACTAAATAAAAATTGAAAGCTTACCATTAGTCATTAAGAGTTTTAAATTATTTATTATTAGAAATTTCACGTACCAATAAATGTCCGTCTGAAAAGACTAGATTCTTTTACTTTAGTGCTTATTATGAATAGGCATATGACGTTTAAGATATAATTCTGGTTGCATATTGTCACGTAATGTTTGAAGAAATTTATTTCCTTTCTATGAATCTGCCGCAAAACTGGCTCACCAGCATAATAATTACCGGAGACCAATTCGACACCCGTAATGTCAAAACTATTATTATGATGTCAACGACTCATCTTATATGTGCTAATATTCATTGCGTTTTTCTTTCTATCTGTGGTTATCGTTGCTTACACGGCCGATAGATTAACCAAGTTCGGAGGAGATTGTCTGTCGAATTTTATTTTCGTTGTTTTTTCAGATTTGCTAACTCTTGATTTTTAAGGATTTTGAGTCTATCTGACTGTCAGTATAACGTTGTAATACATCTTTCTAAGTGAAGATAAGAAGATCTGTGATAGTACCAAACGTTGTTAGTGTTATTCAAATTGAATTTGTGCACATGTCAAAAGGAGAACGCTTACCCGTTTCATAAACTATGTCATTATCAGTTTCAGTTTGGAAAGGACAGGAGGCTTGATGGCCTGTGTTAGTCCTGGCAATGGTGGTCTCTCAGTTGATCCAACTTTCTTTTGAAAGAGTCGACGGGTAGAGCTGAGGTAATGAATTCCCGTCGTTGATTATTCGATGGGAAAGTCGATAGTCAGCTGACAAGTAATTTGTTCTGGGCTTGTGAACTTTTTTGGAGTGTCCTCGTAAATTCTCTGTTTTGGAAGACAAGAAAAATGAGGGTATATCAGGTGCAAATTTGGTACCAAGCAATTTGAAAGCTGTAATCAAGTCACCTCTGGTTCTGCGATATGACAACGGGAAAAGGTTCAGCTTGGCCAGTCGAGCTTCATACGGAAGCTTCGCTATTCCGGGAATCAGCTTAGTTGCCGTTCTCTGAACCTTTTCCAGAAGCTCGCTGTCTTTTTTTAAGCAGGGGCTAGCCGCTTGTATGAAGTACTCAAGTTTAGGACGTACGAACACTGTATACAAAGTCAAAAACGTCTTAGCGTTGACATGACTAAAAGCCCCACGTATTGACCATAACGTTCTAAAACCTTTGGCGGCTATTGCACGGCAGTGTGCAGTAGTCTTTGAGTCTTGGCTAACGATGACTCCTAAGTCATTATATGTATGGACGACAGGTAGCTCAGTGTTATTCATCGTGTATGTATCTGTGCCTTGATGACCGATATGCATCACAACACACTTGAAAGTATTTATCGGCAACTGTCAGGTTTGAGACCATTCAGATAATTTTTCATGTCATTTTGGAGTTCTAAGCTATCACTCTAACATCATATCGTTTTCCATATCTTGACATCGTCAGCATATAGCAAGACCGATGATGATAGGAGACGAGGAATGTCATTTGCATACAAGAGGAATAACATTGGCCATAAAACTGTACCCTACTAATCACAGTTTCTCAGCTAGATAACTTTAAGTTCACCCGTACTCCGTTGGCGCCCAACTAGGAAGTCTTTTTCCAGTACTGTCTACCCATAGTGCAGGAATATTTCCTCTTCTTTTTGTCCTTTGGTTTATATAAGAATACAAGCGTTTGGAACATTCTATGGATTCCTTAACAATTTTCTCTTCGTACAACTTTCTAGACTAACGGAGGGTCTCATCAGTCCCTAAATCTGTCCCACATTTTTCTTCTCTTTCGGAGAAGGATGCGAACCTCCCTACTGAACCACAGTAGAGTTTCTCGGCCCCCTTGGTGTAGTTCAAGGTATGTGGGATGCAGTAACTTTTAAGTATAAATTTCGAAATGCGTCCCAAGCCCTTTCAATTGAGCACTCTGGGTCTATTGTTCAATCTACTAACGATGCCGAGTGCACGATATCTGGTATGTTTGCTTTCCAGACGTTAGGTCTGGATAGAGCTAACGCGTGCTCGTGATTGAAAGTTATATGGAAGTCGAGAATTAAAACTGCGTGATCGCTTCTATCTAGAGTTGGCATGTAATGGAGGTTCGCAACGTCATCCTCGTAGTGAGTCAATATAAAATCTAGTAAGGATGATTCAGAGTCCGGGTCGCACCTAGTCGCTTCTTCCACATATTGCACTAGTGCACATGTGATAACCGCATCAACTTGTTCCTGCTCGAAGGAATTTTCTGACGATTCAGTTGGCAGATTTTCCCAGTCTACCATAGGTGCATTAAAGTCCCTTAGGATTAGACATCAACCACTTTGTGACCAAGTATTGAGACTGCTTAGCAGGACCTCATTTACCTCACAGCTTGGACGGCGATAGACCAAACCAATCAGTAGTTCTTGCCTCTTGCATTTCAAGCGGCAATTAACTAATTCACACGTCCCACTCTCATGGAATACACTGTCGATAATGGTTAGTGGAATGGCATTTCTAATGAATAGAGCTACTCCCATTCTTTACACTTTTGTGTTCTGTCGGCCCTTACTAACGTAAAACCCTCGAAATCAAGTTCCATACTATCTATAGACTGTGTCAACCAGGTTTCTGTGACTGCGATTATGTCTGGCTTTGCAACTTATTAGACTGGATGAATTATATTCTGGGAGTATTTTCACTATCCTCCGATTCTGTATAGATTTCTGGAGAATATTAGAGAGACTTTTATTTATAAGCAAGATGTGTAAAGAAGAGTTGCGAAAAATGTTTAGGATCTCCATATTTATATGTGAGGATTTATTTCGTGTTGTTAATATTTAATAGCATTTTTTCCATTTCGCTGCAGTTTCAAGCTATATCCTGACTTATTATTTACTACTCTATCTCTTTTTGTTAACGAGTTAAAGTAACGAACTAATTAACCTACCACTCTATTTCTTGTACCTTGGGGAACTCCACTGTTTACAGGTACGCACAAGGAGAGAGCTCCATTAACCCTTACCCTTTGTCTCCTGTCATTTGGAAAGTTACTTATCCAATCTACAACTGTATAATGGATTCCAAAACGTTACAGTTTGAATTTAAGACCAGAATGGGAGACCTTATTGAAGGCCTTACTTAGATCTGTGAAGATCACATCTACAAGAATATCCCGATCTTTTACCGCAGCCCAATCTTCTTTTGCAATGAGAAGATTTGTCAAGTATGATAGGCCTCTCTGAAAACCATGTTGCTCCCTGGAGAAAAGATTATGGCCTTCAACATAGTTTATAATAGATATTCGAGTGATTTTTTCCATCAGTTTTACAACCGCACTAGTTAAGCTAACGGGTCTATAGTTACTAGCATAGTCCCTACTCCCAGCCTTATACAGCGGACTTATTATAGTGTCTTTCCAGTCTCGGCAGTCTGGACTGCCTCAGAGACATGTCAAACAGTATCGTTAATGGTTCAGCAATTACATCTGATATGGTTTTCATAATCCTAGGATGAATATCATCAGAACCACTGGACTTATCAGGTTTGAGATGCTGAAGTATCCTTAAGACAGTACCTTTCTCAATGACTACAGCGTCCGTCAGCGAGCTGCCACAATCACAATGAATCGTTGGTCGTTCTACATTACTGATAGAAAACACTTTACTAAAATATTGCGATAAAGCTTCAGCTTTTTCGGTACATTTGGGCGGGGTGTAACCTGGTCGTATATCATGTCCCTAGTTCTAAAAGTGAATGACAAGACAGCGTGATCGCTGTTCACTAACGGTGGAAGAATATTTAGGTAGACAATATCCTCAGTCTCATGAGTGATTACCAAGTCCAACAGGGAAGAACCTTGCTTGGCACCTAAACCTGTGGGTTTGGATGCATGCTCTGTTATTGTTATCAGGAACCTGCTATCAAAGTAGTTTGTAGATCCTTCCGTGGTTATCTCAGTCCAGCTAATATCAGGTGCACTAAAGTCTCCTATTATCAAGCATCTTATTTGCACTCCATAGTTGAATGTGCTCTAAAATAAAGTCATCAGCTAAGCAGATTGGGCTGCGATAGATGACGCCGAGAATAAATGTACCAAATCCGAAAGCCAATTTACAGATAATGACTTCACGGGCCCCAAATGCCCTGGTACGGCCGATAGTGGGGAGAGTCCGCTCTCCCTCTCGAAATGCTCTCACATGGCCACGCGTATATAGCCTCTACCATGGAAGTCCTACTCATTGCCTTCTCGTGGAGGGGGTGTTGTTTACGAAATTGAGAGGACGAAAAGCGAATGTCCGGCGCTTTAACCGGGTTGGTGGACATGGAGAGTCCACCTAGGGGAGTTGGTAAACCCTGATTCCAAACCAATGGTGCATATTTTTTCGTGCCTCCTTGTACCAATATCTATGTGTTAAAATAAATAAATAAACTTCACAAGTACCGCTATCATGAGATTCGCTAGCAGAGGAGCTATGTATAAAAGGAAGCCATCTCCCTTTCTACATCTATGTCAATCACTCCTTAGGTAATGATATCCAGATAATTGTGGAGTAATGTCTAAGTCACAGACTAACCAAGTTTCTGTCACTGCTACAATAAGTGGCCTTAATTTGTCCACTAATGCTTCTAGTTCATAGAACTTATTTCTTAAACTACGAGCGTTGGCATATAAAACGCCTAGATAGAACGGCCTATCCACATAGGCCTTGGTAGGATTCGCTTCCAAGACCTGACTATCCGAAAACCCACTAACCGGAGAATTTCCTCACCGTTTTGTCGACGGGTTTCTAGTTCAGCTAGTGCTTCCTTCTTCCTTTTTATTCTATCTTCAAGAGACATATCAGGTCTAACACGGACGTCTGAATTGTCGTGACTACGAACGCTACTTAACAGGAGATCACGTTGCTTCTCCGACTCTAGGATTACCTTAAGGAGTCTGCATGGTCGGGGTTCAACGTTGTCCTCGGTCCTCTTACCTATTCTAACCAGGTTTTTTTTATACCTGAACTGCTTTAAGGTTATTTGGTAAGATACTACGAATATATTCTCCCAGTTTCTCCAAATCATGCGTGTGTCTAATTTTGGGATCAGGTTCGTTTGACTCTAGCAATTTTCTCACAATAATATTCGGTGAGATTAGATTCTCCTTCTCAGTCATCACGCCAGCGTGGGTTTCTCTCTTACTATCCAACTTTGGTAGTGCATTTTGTGCCTCACAATGGGAGCCCACCAATGACTTGCTAACCAGCTGCGTACTGTCTACAGCTTTTTTCGTTTCGTTTTCTCCGTACAGTAGTCCATTTTCCATCCCTCAGGACACCGGGACGATGTGGAACGGTGACGGCTTTATCCGGATCTTGAATTTCCACTGGAGGTGTACGATTAACAATGTCAGGCAGTACTTCCCTTCTCGTTAATGTTAACGGAAATTTCACTTTTCCGTCAATCACAGTCGGGTGTTTGAAGCATCTCGTAACAGCACGTACACTGACACGCTCTTCACTGTCAGTGCTCGTGTTTTTAGCGTAACCGCCATCGTTCTTCTTACAGGCCAAAGTCAACAGGCTCATAGCCTCCCGTATTAGTGACGTCTTATTTGCACAGCACAACATGCAAAACCAATGCGAGTTCGGGTTCGAGCATCTTTTGTATGCGGTGGGACTTAAACGGGTACACATCTTATGGAACCACTTTTTGCACTCATCACACTGCATTCCTTCATCCACAGGGAACAAACAGTTTGGTTGTCCACATTTATGAGTACTACCGCCCACTGTAGTCAGATTAAGGTTTAAAACACAATATGAGCAAAAGTGTCAGTCAATAAGTAAAAGGGTACCACAAGACGAACTCATTGTTACTCGAGTGAGTTGGAAGCAAGAATATTGTTTCAACGCTGTTAGTGAATCTGTACTGTGTTTAGTGGGATTCTGAAGTTCATACGAAGTGTCTTATCACAGAACGAAGTAATCATGTAGTATGGTTCCGTATACTCTAGAAGACTTAAAGGCTCAAAACCAAACTCAGAGCTTTCACATTTAGATGGTTGTTCGTCGCAAGTCCTAGTATCCCACTAAATGCGTGATATTAGTGTAATTTGTTAACAACCTTAATAAAACTGCAAAGACCAATTTTCATATGAACAAAAACTACTAATATATTCCACATCTCTCCGCATTGTTTCTTCATATATTATGAAAGCATCAACCAAATAAATTCTGTGCATTAATAAACGTATGTATGACATCTGTCGTGGTAACCCCTCAAAAGATGCTGGTACGTTGTATCTCCTCATGTGTGCTAACTTGATTCCTAATGTCTCGCTCGTCGTCATTAGGAAATTAATAATGTAAGTTGCTTAATTATGATAAAATACCAATTCTTACTTTGTGACACTACACTTAAACTGTCTGCCACCCTGTCATTCGCTCATTTTGTTTTGCATTTAAACCTTTATTAAGATTCACTCCATGAAGATATTCGTTTTTATCCTCACCCTTTGTAAAATAATGTCCTGTATTTACTCAGCTTAGTGATTTTGACGTTATCAATTTGTTAAATAGTACCTTACCGAAAATCCACAACACGCTGAGGAAAAATATCGCAGACTCAGTGTCTCAACAACACAGATGGTTTGCGAAAAGTGTAAGTCGAGTTTTGCGTAACAAGTTTCGATTGACAGGCGAGAGGAAACTGGGCAAAGTAATAACTCCTGATCCCTGGAAAGCTGGTGCACGGAACACAGTCAGTGGTGGTGGGAGGAAACTTAATGAAAATAAACTACTAACTAGTTCCAAAAATCGATTTAGTCCTTACTCTAATGCGTTCCCAAGATGCAGAATATGTGCTCAAACCGTACATCAGCCAGGTTCCTATTACTGTCAACAGTGTGCATTCAAGAAAGGCATTTGTTCGATGTGTGGTGTACGTCTGGTTAATACAACGCAGTATAACCAGTCAGCTGCCTAGTTGGACTTTTTGGGACATTTAAAGTTCTATTTCTGATTTTTCAAAAACATGTGTAAAATTAGTGTAAATAACATCATTTATTTCTCAACCTGTTTGTTTGCTAACTTTATGAAAACTCGAGTGTTTATTTAATTTGCATATCAGGAGAATTTAAAATCAAATCTCGAAATAAACTTGATTTTTATTTGCTTGTATTGTGGCAGTACTTTAAAACATCAGGATATTAATTTGTATACACTTTAGATTTATCCGAGCGAACATAATTTTGACAAATATTTTCGTGGTGAAAGTGCCTTCTAATTTTGCAGACTGTTTCATCTGAATTTTTAACCGTTTCGCACATAATTCTATTCTGTAAAAAGAGTTAAAAAGTACTAATTACACGTAAGCATTTAACAACGATAGATATTTAAAATAACCCATAGTGTGATTGAATAAGCAAGAGGTTTCAGCGAAGGAAATTTTCTTTTCGACGAAACCATTTACTTTCATTTGATTTCATGGAATGTTATGTTATTTCTGGTGTGATAATACGCTCTAAACTACAGTTTCGTACCTAGTATCAGATAACAAAACAGTCTTTGTTAGCTAGGACTAGGATTTTACGCCGTCCATGTATGCTGTCTTCGAAATGCGCATTCAGGATCCAAGTACGGTCATTTGCTTGAGCTCATCTTGTCATTATGAAGAACTCACGCGATTTATCCTCCCAATATCCGGGGACCACATTGCTACTTCGCATGGCCTCGCTGGTGTAGGTATAGTCTTAAGTCAAGATGGGGACACCTTTACCTTTCTGTTTTCTCAACCTACGCTCACATTGGCCAGCTCGGATAAAGTAAAAGATGAATTCCACGAGGTTATTTAGGTTCCTTCAAAAGGCTAAACGCTATGATGCAGTAACAGTGATAGGTGATTTTAATGCTCGAGTAAGTTGACTGAATTTGACCAAAAAGCTCCTAAATGGGTCCTACAATGTCGCCGCTCAGTGAACAGATAGTGGCAATCGTCCACTGCAACCATGCTCAGATAACAGTCTACTTTAAAAAAGAAACACCAACTTTAAACATGAGGGACATCATCTGACGTGGCGAACCATACAATTTACTCAAATAGATCACGACACTAATCATCGTTAGAGGGACTCGATAGAAGCCTTGTTCATTCTGGAGCACAGGTTTGAATCCGGATCATACTATAGTCCAAACACATATTTGTCTGCATCTTGATGGGCGGAGAAAAGCCACATCAAGAAAACCCCTTGGTGTACAACTTAATGACGAGAAAGTTAAAGATATAATTCAGGAACAACTGGAGAATGAGCTAATCAGCCAAAAGAATGATACCCTTGAGATAGCTTGGTATGATATCCAAAAAGCTGTGGAAACAGTTGTGATATCTACTAGTAAGTGAAACGAAAGGGTGAGGAAACGTTCGTTTCATTTAGTCTAAAATTTACTCTAGAATAGGATTATTTCTTCCAGGTACGTCATAATTAAAATATTTTCGGTAGTTTTTCATTAAGCAATCCTCTACGATATCATACATAGTAAGTTGACTGAATAATGATGAAATCGAATAACCCTTAGTATAGTTACTGTTAATTGAAGTCATGAAAAAAGGTAGCGACAGAACCTACCTCTGAATCCCTCAGATTAAGGTCACCGCAAAATATACTTGCACGGCTTTTGTTTAAATGAGCTTGAGAATCGCCACACTTGACATAACTGGACATTGTATCCCAAACACTTTTCAATTGAGTCACCCGTTCACCAGAATATTCTGCACAACTTTCCAAGTGTGTAGTAAATATTCGTAGATTTAATTCTACATTAGACTTGGATAGAAACTGTGATAAATTCAGATCAATAGATAGTAGATGACGATTCATTACAGAATTAGGAAATGTTTGAATTTGTTTAAATTAACAATCTCAACAATACTTCGACGATATAAGCGATGCATGGATTAGGAATAGGATATTAAGTAAGGGCATTATATCAATTGATGTAGTAGAAAATCTTCACCAACCGGCTATTGTGACGCGTTACATATGGTCGACCATCGCTTAACCCGACAGCTGGTGGAGTAGGTTTGGAGAAAGGTAGGAAGGACCAGGCGGAAACATGGCATCTGTTGAGTGATAGTTGCATTTAGCCATGCTAATATGTGCAGAATACCTGGTGCAGGTCCATGTGATCGACATTTAATGAAATGGAACGAAATCGCTTGCAGTGACGCAAACTCCTGATTTATATTTTCCCATCGAATCGTATCATTAATACCCAGTCTTTCTTATTACTATTGATACTGTTACCACCTCTAATATTCCGAGATTTGGGAATTTCATCTCTGTGCTAACAGGGCAACTCGGACCGATGTACATACTTACCAGGTTGTGGTGTGACTGACTGAAACGCGTGGAAAACTAAACTGAGATATTAGGATTCCAAAAAAAAGCTATTTCACTCACTTAAATAATATTTGTGAGGAAATAGCTTGTATCACTTACGTTATTTATTCGAAGACTTTATGATATGAGCCGTAACAAGAGACGAAGATTGATACTTGCGCTAATACTGCTTTACTTACTGCTCGGCCTCATGCATAAAAGAATTATATGAATGATTAGCGGACCAATATTTGTGTAAAATTGATCGATTAGAGTACTGACAAGATGTAAAGCAAAACAAATTGTACCGAATGGAAGTCTTCCATGTTAATTACTTTCAAACGGTTGGTATTATGTTACACAGCCTGATTTTCCAACTCACATCACAAACGAAAACTGTTGTCACTTTCGGTACACGTGAAGATTTGAAGTACTTTTTTTCATAAACATCATGTGTTACTAAACCTCTAGAGCATCCAGGTCCGCATTTAAAGTATCACCGTTTAGTGAACCAAGCATTATTATTCGCCGGCAACGTATAGGAAGACAGCTTGTAAAATGTTTCAACAGATACATTATTTAAAATAACGAGGTAAAAAGCCAAGGTAGAGCACCAGTATATTCAAAAGTGACATTTTTAAAATAGCTAATTCCATTTACAAGTACTTAGTATTGATTGATAAGTTAACTGGCAATGTTGGCAACTTTTTAAGACTATTGAATGAGTGGCTGATCAATCATACGACCACGGAAACACAAAGGCCATGCATTTGAAGGATCTGCAAATTCAGATGCTTCCAGAAATAAAATTACAGAAAATTATATTTGCGATTTTCATGGTGAATATCTTTGATTGGCACACAGAAGTTATGCAGGATGCTTTACTTCTTTACCAAATAATCCTGAAAGTATCTTCTTCACAACCGACTTTTGGTTTGTCACGATCTACGGGGATTTAACATATTTATAACATTGAGCTTACTCTTAAAATCAATGTATACGATATCGAAAGCCGCAATAACATATGCTTTAGCAACAACTTGAATATAATTTCTAGGATAAGATAGTTCTGTATTGTCATCACATCCATGGAAACCTAGGTGTCCTATGTAGCTAAAAAGGTGGAGTCAATATTGAAATACCAGGATATATCCAGAGTTATTAGCTCTGAATATAAAAACGAGTAAAAAACGATCGACAGAAATTTATTATCCTTTAGTCGAACAACAAGAAAGTAAGTGCAACAAAATAAGCAATGCGAAAACACTGAACGTTACCCTGGCAATTTGAATTTAGCGCAAGTTGAGAAAAAGTCAAACTCGAGGACGGACATTGGCTTCAGATAAACATCCATTTCGAGCTAATAAAAATGATCAAATTAGACTTATTCTGTTATAACGTGAGTATCAAGGCACAACGAATGGCTTCCTAATTACTTCCATGCACAATATTATTTTGTGCTCCATGATACTTTGTAGATAGCGATAACAAACGCAAATATGTCTTCGAAAATATATTGAAAAAATTTAAACAAATGGTTTTTTACACAAATACAAAATCACACTTTCTTAGAATAAATGAGCTTATGAATTCTCTTCTGTAAGGAATTGTCACGCTTTTTTATATATTATTTTGATCTTAGCAGAGAGAAAAACTGGCAAATTATATGGAAAAACATAAACCACAAGAAGAGGCGTTTAGATTATGCATTGAGTTACATGAATAAAGAATATTCAACTTGACAACTACAAATACGTGTATAGACTAGGCTCCAATCTCACAAATGCATTGATAGTTAATCACCAAATTTGATTCAGTAGATTTACTTATATGATAATGTTTAGCAGTCATGTAGAACGTAAAATCTGGGACGTTTCTTTATCGTTTTTGGTCGCCATACCAAATGAGCATAATCATACCGGATCATAAAAATACCTTGGTTATAGACGTTGTAACAGAATCAGTGGTAATGGAAAAGATAGGGTGTAAAAATAGGCAAATACATTTCGAGACTCAGGTTCTGACAGGAGACAAGAAATAGATGTACTTACGACTTCGCACACGATTCCGAACCTTGCCAGGTTTCAAACGATTAGTTACGATAATTACGCGGACCCCAATCATGTGGACCACACTTTTCTGCATAGCTCAGTTCGAAGTCAATGTCTTTATTGATTGAGGCCATGACTTAGTTTGGCTTCCAATAGCTTTCTTACAGCCTACAACGCCAGACATCGAGCGTTGAGGCAGGTAGTAGTAATGAATAACTGATACACGTACCTAAGTGATAAATATTTACTACCTCATCAACCGACTTGCAATCCTCACCTAGTATCTTATGGTTAACGGTAGCTTTGCTGACTCGGTGAGCATTTTGAAAACTTCTCCGATTGAACATCAGTAACCTACGTTTGTCCTCTATTCTCAATAGGATTGTTTCACACTCAGGGAGCAGAGTGGAGCAAGTTCGTCATTTGGTTACTAGACACATACATTTCTTATGTCACATGAGACACGATTCGACAATACCAACCGAGTTTTTTAATCCTTGACAATATTTCACCAGACACCAAACAACCAGGACTGATGAGACTCCCGTGATAGGCTGTGGTCAACGCGCCCAACTGCTTGACCTCCTATCATAAGTACCGCAGTCCTAAGACAACATTTTGGATTTAAGTAAGGATAAACGGGCTCCAAAATATCTTGATTTTTCGCTCAAGATTGTCGAAAAACAGCACTATAGCCCATTCTTGAAGAAGCCTAACCCTTGGATAGTCAGATAAGTAAGGCACTGCCCTCAAAATAACTTTTGTAAAGTGGTTTGATAAAAAAAGGGAAAATATACAGTTCTAAAGAAAACCACTCGATGTAGTGTTCGATGCTTGACCGTTGTTGCTACCTTGACGTGGTGGTCGGGCTTGCCTATCGTGATGAAGCAACCGAGCTATACTGGCTGGAACAACCGTTCCTCAAGGTCCTACCATGTCAGACAGGTCGGTTGAAGAGCGGTAAGACTAAAAGCAACAAACCCAAGGTCCGAAGGCGAAGTCGTACTGCTGACTGTACAGAGGTGTGACAGCAGTAAGGTGTTTCCTCCCGAGAACCAGCGTGACAGCGATGTTTCCTTCCCACAAGGAGGGGTGGGGTTAGAAAAGGTCGACCCTAAAAACACACACGTTGCCTTATCCCACGGATTTCCGTCTCCGGCGGTAAGGTCTCAACAAGTACGGAGCTAACACAAAAATTACCCATAAAAAGGTCGTGTGTGAGCAGCCTCAAGCAGTTGTCCTTTGGGCACTGAGGTCACGCTCTCAGGTCACTAAGACCACCTCTAATCCAATTCGCTTTTCAGGTACCTCCAGAACAGCCGGGAAGTGCTAACCGCCATCATACTTGTAACAGCACTCAAGACCACTGTATTCATAATAAACCTCCCTCTTCAATTCCTATTATTCCTCCTACATCGACTTTCACCTCTAAACTTCATTTTTCAGCTTCCCCTTCAAGTGTCACCATAGCCAACGATTCTAGTGCTCAAAACAGTGTCCCGGGTCTGCTGAAACCTTGCTCCAAACTACACATTGTGGCCTTCAACGTACGCACCCTATGTCAAATCGGTCAACAGGCTTCCTTGGCTAGAACCCTAGAATCGCGTACCATTGATGTATGCCGGTCAGCTCTCGTGGACTGGCAGGAGTAGGGATAGCAGTGTCTGTCATTGAAAGGCGTACCTCAGAATTAAATGGACCTTGTAAAGGCTCTTTACTCGAACACTACTAGTCAAGTCAGAGCTTATGGCGAACTGTCATCTACTTTTACAACCTCAAGTGGTGTCCGTCAAGGCTGTCCACTTTCTCCATTTTTGTTTAACTTCATCATAGATCTACTGATGGAAATAACTTTCTCGTCGACTGAGTTCTCGGGTATTGACCTCCTACCAGGAGGTCCACTTATCGACTTAGAATACGCAGATGACATAGTCCTGTTTGGTGAAGACGCTGACAAAATGCAGAGTCTTCTGGTAGCACTAAGCAACAATGCCAGGATGTTTGGGATGCGCTTCTCTCCCTCTAAATGCAAGTTGTTGCTTCAGGACTGGTCTTCGTCAACACTCGAACTAAGGATAGGGAGTGAAGTAGTCGAACGCATTGACAACTTCACTTATCTTGGAAGTCTGATCAGCTTTAATGGGTTGGTGTCTGACGAAATCTCTGCACGAATTTAAATAGCTCGTTTAGTTTTTGCCAACTTACGTCACCTATGGCGAATGCGAGATATCCGTCTATCAATAAAAGGACGAGAACACTGCGCGGCAGTTCGTTCTGTTTTAATTTACGGCAGCGAAACGTGGCTATTGGGAGTTGAAGATACTCGTAAGCTACTAGTATTTGACCACAGATGCCTTAGAAATATCACTGGCATCTGCTGGGATCACAAGGTAAGTAATAGTGAGGTTAGGTGCATGGTATTAGGGAATGATGGCAAACCAGTTGATG